GTGGTGGCTAAAGGAAGGAATGAAGGTGTCGGTGGCAATCTTGAACATAAGAAGGAAGAATTAAATTGTCATAAAGGTGTAGGGGAGGAGGAGAGAATATGGAAGCTAATATGTACAGAATGTGAGGAAATAAGACTGAAGGAAGATTACTTGGAAAGGAATTTTCAGAAGAAATGTTTGCTTAGTAAGGAAGGAGAGGGGGCTGAAATATAAGGCAATAAGAGGACAGAATTAAATTCTTGAAACAAGAAGAGATTACTACAAGGTTGACCTTGGGGTGGGAAAGGAAGTAGTTAAAACATACCATAGGAAACCTGAGGAAAAAAAAAAGAGGAGAAAAGGGAGCATAGAAAGAAGAAAAGGACCGAGGTGCAACGACTAATATCTGACAATGAGGCTGACATCAAGTTTAGCAGAAGGGGGAGAGAGGAGGAAGAACTCTAGGTAAGGAGTTGATTTCAGGAGGGACTTTATTGAATGTGAGAGGCTTGGGAAGTGCTAGGAAAAGGAAGGTAATAAAGGATTTACTCACAAGAGAGAAGCATGACATTGTGATAGTGCAAGAAACGAAGCTCTCGGAACTGGATGGAAGATGGATAAGAAGATTTTGGAGGATTAGGGGTGTTAGTTGGTCATCGGCTCCATCCTGGGGTGCTTCGGGAGGAATTGTCACACCGTATGGAAGATTGGGGTAGTGGAAGCAATGGAGGAGCTAGTGGGTAGATACTCTGTCTCCATTAAATTCAAGAATGTAGAGGATGGATTTTGTTGGGTGCTGACCAATGTGTACGGTCCTAATTCCTATAGAGAAAGAAATGAATTGTGGGAGAAATTGTATGCAATTTGGGGTTTATGGGATGGACCTTGGTGTCTGGGAGGGGATTCCAATGTCACAAGATACTTAGAGGAATCTAGCAATCATGTCCAGTCAATTACAACAAGTATGAGGAAATTTAATGGGTTTATAGAAGATTGTGAGCTAAAAGAAATTCCACTGCTGCAAGCTAGATTCACCTGGTCTAACTTTCAAGCTAATCCATTGTGTTCAAAGCTGGATAGGTTTCTATTAAACTTAGAATGGGAAAACCACTGGGGGAACTTGGTCTCTAGAGCTTTGCCTAGGGTCACATCAGACCATTGTCCCATCAAGATTGATGTGGAATCCCTAGTTAGTGGACCTAAACCATTTAGGTTTGAGAATATGTGGTTAACTCATCCTAGGTTTGAAAGCATAGTGAAGGATTGCTGGAACGAGGAGTTAAGGGGAATAAAGTGGAAAGGAATTAAATTTCATCAGAAGTTGAAGATGAAGAGACTAAGAGTCAAGTTGAAGGAGTGGAATAAAGATCACTTTGGCAGGGTGGAGGAATAAAAGTTGAGCTTGGTCACACAAATTGAAAAATTGGATGAGAAGGAAGCCCAAGGGTTGTTGAGTGAACAAGATAGAGAATCAAGAAGGCAATTGAAGGACTTGAAAGAGGTTTTACTTAGAGAAGAGATTTGCTAGAGGCAGAAGTCAAGGCACAAGTGGATTAAGGAGGGGGATGGGAATACTAGGTTCTTTCATGTGCTGACAAATGGTAGGAGGAGGAAGAACTTAGTAGCTAGACTAGAAATAGAAGGGCAGGTAGTCACCAACCAAGAGGATATAGCCAGGACCTTTGTAGATCATTTTAAATCTATCTATAGTAGGTCTTTGAATGAGAGGGTACCTTTGGATGGTTTGGAATGGCCGAGATTAGAGGAAGAAAAAGCAAGGTGGTTAGAAAGGAGATTAGGAGGGCAGTGTTTATGATGGATAGATCCGAGGCACCAGGTCCCAATGGATTTACTATGGCTTTCTACCAAGATTGTTGGGACATCTTGAAAGAAGATTTTTGTGCTGTTGTTGAGGAATTTTTAGAGAATCATATAGCAAGTCCACGAGTCAATGCCACTTTCTTGGCCTTAATCCCTAAGAAATCAGATGCTATCCAACCTAAGGACTTCAAGCCAATTAGTTTGGTAACTAATCTTGGCTAAGGTGTTGTCTTTGAGGCTTAAAGCAATTCTCCCATCCCTAACTGCTAATGAGTGCGTGGAGGATATGAAAAGATCTAAAAGAAAAGGCTTTGTCTGTAAATTGGATTTAGAAAAGGCATATGATTTGGTGGACTGGAACTTTTTGGCAGAGGTATTGAGAAAATGTGGATTCGGGAATAAGTGGTGAAGTTGGATTTATGAATGTATCAGTTCCTGTCATTACTCCGTCTTGGTTAATGGAAGGTGAAGGACTTCTTCCCAGCTTGTAGAGGTATCAGGCAAGGGGACCCTCTATCACCCTTCCTCTTCACTCTAATAGCAGAAGTTCTTAGTAGAATGATCTCAAAGGTTGATAGAGAAGATGTGATTAAAGGGTGGAAAATAAGGAGGGATGGTATTCCGGTCACCCATCAAATTTGAGAGGTTGTCAAATTTGAGTGTCAACTTCGAAAAGAGTTGTGTAGCTGGTGTTAACTTGGAGGATAGGGAGGCGGAGTTTATAGCAAGAAGTTTAGGTTGTTCTATCTCGTCCTGGCCTATGACCTACTTGGGGCTTCTGTTGGGGGCAAACCCTAGCGAGAGTAGCTTTTGGTGTCCAGTGGTAGAGAGGTTCCAAAAGAAGTTAACTTCATGGAGGAAAAACTACTTATCCTTGGGGGGTAGAATCACGTTGATAAGAGACACACTTGCTTACTTACCAACCTATTTCTTGTCTGTGTTTAGGATACCACCTAGGGAAGCTAAGAAGCTAGAGAAGCTGATGAGAGACTTTCTATGGGAGACGGGGGAGAGTAAAAAGGATCACTTGATAAAACGGGAGGTGGTTTGCCGGAATAAAGAAGAAGGGGGTTTGGGGATAGGGAATTTGATTAAAAAAAATAAAGCATTGCTAGGGAAGTGGCTATGGAGGTGGTCAATGGAGAGAAAGAGAGACTTTGGCATGAGGTGGTGGGTAGTATTCATGGCCACTTAGAAAACGGATGGGATGCTAGAGTATCACGGCAGGCAACCTTGGCAGCACCTTGGAAAGCTATTCATGGCATTCTTCCTCATTTCCTCAGTTTTATCAGGTATAATGTTTGCAATGGTAACTCAGTCCTATTTTGGGAGGATACTTGGGTGGGAGAGGTTCCATTGAAGGACCTTTTCCCTTCTTTGTTCTCTGTTTCTAGGTACAAAAAGCATGTTGTGTCAAAGTTTTTTT